ATGTGAAAAAAAGTTTCACTTTTACCGTGGTTTCATAAAACCATACAATCCTTTTTTCTTCTTATTTTTATTGTAGTTTATACTACGTTTGAGGTCTGTGTGTGTGCAATTAGCCTTCAATTCCGTAATAAACCAAAGGGGAAAGAGGGTGATTGAAAAATCAGTCCTCTTCAATGCATCCACTTTGAACAGCATCAGCTGAGCCACCTCCTTTGGCGTTTTTTTTGCTTTTATTTATTTACTTTTAATAATCTAACTCTGTGTGAAAGAAAATAAATGATTATTATATTATTATTATAATTGTTTTTTTTTGGCGCTTTGATGGGTGGACGAGCTCACAGCCCACCTGGTGTTAAGTGGTTACTGAAGCCCATAGACATCTACAACGTAAATGCGCCACCCACCTTGAGATATAAGTTCTAAGGGTCTCAGTATAGTTACAACGGCTGCCCCACCCTTCAAACCGAAACGCAGTACTGCTTCACGGCAGAAATAGGCAGGGTGGTGGTACCTACCCTAAAAAAAACAACAAACTTTATTTAAAAAAAATACATAATGACAATATATTCTTGAATCATATGAGATTCCCTTATGTTATGAGAACGAAAACGTACAAACAAAACTATATGTGGAAGGCCAAGTAACTTTTTGGAGCGAACGACAAAGGCAAGAACCCCATAGTCACCACCCACTAGGTAGATTCAGAGAAGCATTGCTCTTACTAGGGTCGGTGTTAGTGGAAGCCATGGCCAGATTTTGCGACCTGGTCAAGGCGTTCCGTTAGGCTGAGGAGCACGAAAGGGAGTGGGAACTCTCTACGGCTCCTCAGCGAAGAAGGCGGGGTGAACAACGCGGGCACGATGCTCCCGTTAATCTCTCGTAGGAGCTGTTGTTATATTATTATTATGTAGTAGTTTTCTCTCGAGTTCTTGACTCGGTTTAGTTCCTAGCTCCCGCCCTGAAACCTTCAGGGAAGAGGAGGTTCGGACTCCCTTGAATTTATGAAAACTGTATTACCCAAAACTTTACTTATTATTGTGCATGTGTGTATGGCTGCTTGTTTTTGTATTATGTGTATGTTTATATTTGCTTCCAGTTTGTTTATGTATTTATGTATACTTTTTGCCACTACGCCTGTTGCGCCTATTACTATGGGGATGGTTTCTGTGTGTGTATTCCAGAGTCGTATTAGTTCTATTTTTAAGGAGTGATATTTACTAAGTTTTTCCAGTTCTTTTGGTCCTATATTGTAGTCAGATGGTACAGTTATATCTATTAAGTAGGTTTTATTTTCTGTCTTGTCTATGTATATTATGTCTGGTCTATTGTGCTTTATTGTAACGTCTGCCTGCACTGGTATCTCCCACATTAGCTTCATTATTATTTATTATTATTATTTTATTATATTATTAATTAATAATAATACTAGTATAATACAACTTTTTCCCAAAATCCGGAGAGATCACCACGTATTTTTTTATACACACCACAACGTTTGTTAAAAAACTCGCACTAAGCAAACTGAACGACAAATATTTATTTTTACTCCGCCAAACAGTGTCACGTCTACATTTTTATTCATCACGCGACATTTTATTCTCAACAATAACATAATAATATTCGATTTGACATTAACGTCTCCATACAAATTTAATGATTTATTATTTTAGTAATTACATATACCTATATTCCGTTATTTATTTATTTTTACTATCAACCGTTTTGTTCAAATTGTTTGGTTATTAAGGTTATTTTCGTAAAGATATGTTGTTTTTATCTAGCTAGAAATTGATGACGTTCATATCTGACATGAAGGAGAAATGTAAAATACATTACTTAGCTTTTTAAAAATCGACACTGTGAGAGAATAGTTTTTCTTTTCTAATTAGACTAAAACAACAACAACAACAGCAAACAACAGTCATGCACAACCATGCCACTGGCGTCCTGTTGTATAATGGATAATATTTCTTTTTTGTTATTAATTACGATAATCACTACAAAATTATATTTTCAGAAATCTTTAGAAAATGTATGGATTTGTTGATGTATAGATAGTAATTTGTTATTTACAAACATTTCATTTTGGAGGGATATTTTTCATCGTGGTTTCTAAGTTTTAATACTTAGACGGGTGATCGAGTTATCAGCCCACCTAATGTTAAGAGTAGTTTAAACACTAGTTCTATTATTATATTATAAAGCCTGCCCCTGCCCCAGCCTTTAAGCCGCACGCATTCCTACTTCGCGGCAGATATAGGCAGGTGATAATTATCTTACCTTACTACCCGGAAAACTCTTCACATCTCTTCCTATATTAAACTAGCTGGCCCGGCAAAAGTTGTTTTGCCATATAAATTAAGGAAAGATAAATAACCTAGATACCGACAGCAGCGCCATTTGCCGGGCTGATTTTTAAATCTAAACTATTCTCGAATCCCCCTGAAGGTACACAGAAAATTTCATTAAAATCGGTCCAGCCGCTTAGGAAGAGTTCAGTGACAAACACACGCACAGAAGAAATATATACATATATTTTTTTCCTACCTATGCTGATAGCCTTGGGAGGCTATTTCAGCTTTGCCCTGACATGTAGGTGAGCTGACAGGGCTCAAACCAGAGTGTTGCTAACACTGGCCCTAGCAAGAGCAGTGCTTCGCAGAATCTACCACCGGATCGGAAACGCGACCCACCGAGAAGATCCGGCGAGAAACTCAGTGGGCCGTGTCTGTGGGTATATACATATATAAAGATTATAATAGTGCTGGATAAACATCGCTGATCTAAACCCAGCCTAAGTCCACGAGTCTAGATTATTCTTTATCTTATACCTTTAAACGAGCAATTCTTGTATATTAATATAATAATATATGTATATAATCTGAGTCTCGGAAACGGCTCCAACGATTTTCATAAAATTTAGTATACAGGGGATTTCGGGGGCGATAAATCGATCTAGCTACGATTTACTTTCAGAAAATGTTGTTTTATTCGTGTTTTCAATGATCAACTCTTCCCGACATCTATTGGCGAATAATAATACTATTTTTCTTAATTGAGGGCAACTAACCGCTTTAAAGACACAACAAGATGGCGTTTTAAAAAAAAAACCGGTCATCATCTAGTTTCAAATTTCTATTGATTGTCTATTAGCTTATTTTAATCGGAATAGAATCGAGTATTCGATTGTAATGACACGATTACTCGCTACGATATGTCGTACAATAAAGTACCTATCGATCAAATGATAATGCCCCGTGCGCCGTTTATTCGAAGTGTGCTTTTGAAGCTTTTTGTTTCGAACATTAAACTTAATTGACGAATGAGTTTTTCCTTTTCCACTTTTGAATTGAATTACGAGGTTTTTGTTTACACACACACACACACACACACACACAACTTACACTGACACAAAACACATACAAACAAAATAACACAGAGTAAATAGTTCTGGTTTCACAAATCGCTTAGTATTATTAAGATTTAATTATACTATTTTGATCTTATTTGCGCATTTTAATATACCACCTTACTGGTGGTAGGACCTTTTGTGAGTCCGCACGGGTAGGTACCACCGCCGCACCTATTTCTGCCGTGAAGCAGTAATGCGTTATTATCATACATTTTTGACATCAAATTTACTTTCACCGGAAATTTGCCGCACCCACTATTTTTCGCACAAAAATAATAATGACAAACTACAAATCGTAATTTTCATATTGTATAAAACAACAAAACAAAAACAAGTTTCAATTTGATCGCCCCCGCTTATTTGCTGTCACTTGTCACGTGCTTCGACTAACAAAATCATCAAATATTCATAACATTATAACTCAGACATCTACATAAATAAATTATTTATGGCGAGCAATAGTCGAGCGATAGTTAAAGCGGTTCTAAAACGAACGATCACTGTTTAGTTGTAATTTTAAAATCATTAATCCAAACAAACGGACAAAAACAATTCCGGTATTCTCTCTATCGTAGACGCATATCAAATATTTTTAAGAGGTCCCGTATAAAATAACACGTTTTTCAAATGTAAGAAAGTTCACAGTTCCGGGTTGATTAGTGGGTCTATACATTATCGCTATTTTGCTATACACAGCACACTCCAGCTCAGGGCACAAGTTGAAGTCGTCGTGGCCTAAAGGATAAGACGTCCGGTGCATTCGTATCTAGCGATGCAACGGTGTTCGAATCCCGCAGACGGGTACCAATTTTTCTAATGAAATACGTACTTAACAAATATTCACGATTGACTTCCACGGTGAAGGGATATCATCGTGTAATAAAAATCAAACCCGCAAAATTATAGTTTGCATAATTACTGGTGGTAGAACCTCTTGTGAGTCCGCACGGGTAGGTACCACGTTTTGTCTATTTCTGCCGTGAAGCAGTAATGCGTTTCGGCTTGAAGGGTGAGGCAGCCGTTGTAGATGTCTATGGGCTCCAGTCATCACTTAGCATCAGGTGGGCTGTGAGCTCGTCCACCCCTCTAAGCAATAAAAAGAAAAACATTGTCAGTGGTTGCAGTCGGTCATGGGTGTCAACTATTCCAGGAGTAGAGCTAAGTCACCGCCTACCGCTAAGTGTTCTCTGCAAGCCTCGTTTGAAGAAGAGCATTTTAGGGCGTTCTTCAAAAAATTATTTTCGAACTCCAAAAACTTTAGTGCTTCTCCGCTGTGGTTTGTCTTCGTAATACCTCAATGGCAAGCTTACTAGAACTTCGTAGAACTATCCATGTACAAAATACATGTACTTAATGGATAGGCTAATATTTATATGAGTGTTGGACTAGGTACACCAGTTGCGGGGGAGTTAATTATGAAAATCATTGTGGGGGTGAGAAATAACAATGTTATTTTAAATGCCCAGCGAAGCGGACGGGTACAGCTAGTAATAATATATTTTTAAACAACATAACATACAAGCTCGGTTGAACTCTTCATCGTTTAGCACTTTGTTTTGTTACGTCTAAAATTCTATCATTGTCAAACATGGAGACCACGAAGCAACCTATCGGTAAGGGAATCTTTAGAATTTGAAATTAAGAAAATGTATTTTTTAGTAATTATCAGCTTCCATCAGTGTCCGTTTTTTAGATATAAAGCGGGCTATTTAGTTCATAAATTGTGTTATATTTACTGTTGTCTCAGTGTTATTGTTATATCGATTACTTTTTTTTTATTGCTTAGATGGGTGGTCGAGCTCACAGCCCACCTGGTATGAAGTGGTTACTGGAGCCCATAGACATCCACAACGTAAATGCGCCACCCACCTTGAGATATAAGTTCTAAGGTCTCAGTATAGTTACGACGGCTGCCCCGCCTTTCAAATCGAAACGCATTACTACTTCACGGCAGAAATAGGCAGGGCGGTGGTACCCACCCGCGCGGACTCACAAGAGGTGCTACCACCAGTAAATATCAATCTATTCACCCTCTTTAATTTTCTATCAACCAATTGATTGTCGTTTAAATGATGATCCATTCGTCTTTTACAAGCTGCAAGTTCTAAGTGATACTTTAGAACACGCGTCGTGAATCTGGGCGCTCCATTCATTTTCCTTGATAAAATGTTTTGCTTGCGGACAGAATTTATTCGGAAGCTTTAGTTTACTTCGTTTAATTCGCTTTTCCAGTTTTACTTACGTTGGTACTTAGTCTGATTGTTTTTTTTTCTGACGAGCCCTGGTAGAAAGTGGTTACCGGAGCCCATAGACATCTACAACGTAAATGCTTCCGCCTACCTTGAGATAAGAGTTCTAAGGTCTCAGTATAATTACAGCGGCTGCCCCGCCCTTCAAACCGAAACGTATTACTGCTTCACGGCAGAATTAGGAACGGTGGTGGTACCTACCCGTGCGGACTCATAAGAGGTCCTACAACCAGTTGATTGGTTCCTTAAGTTTCACTTTATTTGTATTTGTAACCTCTTCGCATATATATGCCTATAAAAAAGAAGATTCTCCTAAATTAAACTTAAATTCAGTGTTCCTTTGGAGAACGGTCCTCTAGCGTTCTTAAAAATAGAATCTAATGTATAAATGGTGCCTACTCGTCGCCGTAAAATAACGCAAATCCGCGTGATACCTTTAAAAAAAATTCCATCTGTGATTCTTTGCGATTTTCTAGACAATACTAAGTTTGAGTTCAATTTTTTGTTATAAATTGTGTCTTGTTTAAAAATATATAAATTGGCGTATATGGCGTATATGTACGCTTGTTACCAAATAATAGTGGCTTTATCACTGAATCGGCAGTACAACCATACTGTAACCCGTGTAGGGTTGGTGTTGTGATCATTTATCCGACACTTTATCAGGCTCATCATGCGTCAATAAAAGTACAAAACATTTTATTAAATTGGCATAATTTTGCTACGGATATTTTTGTATGGTAGACCAAATATTTACACATATGAAAATGTAGTTTGAGTTTCTCTAAATTATTATGCGATGAAATTCGTAGCATACGCTCAAGGGTATTTTTCTTGCTGGAACATTGATATTTCTAGTGAGAAGCGAACATATCTCTAAGTTATTTTAATAAATTCAATCCGCTGTGCTGAATGTTCTACTATAAATATTCGGAGATAAGAAAATTCAATTTCGATTGAAATTCAAATTATATGATACTCTGAGACCGATGACAACTAAGACACGGCAAAGGCAAAATGAGAGTAAAGTAGCTCATGTGATTAGGAACAGTCATAATTGAGGTCGTCGTGGCCTAAAGGATAAGACGCCCGGTGCATTCGTGTTGAACGATGCATCGGTGTTCGAATCCCGCAGGCGGGTACCAATTTTTCTAATGAAATACGTATTCAACAAAATGTTGACGATTGACTTCCACGGTGAAGGAATAACATCGTGTAATAAAAATCAAACCTGCAAATTTTAATTTACGTAATTACTAGTGGTAGTACCTCTTGTGAGTTCGCGCGGGTAGGTAACCACCACCCTGCCTATTTCTACCGTGAAGGTGTAGAGGAAAGTCATGTGCGCAGCCAAGTACCTGATCTTCACTAAGGACTCTTTGAAAACCAATTTAACAGAACATGTCACCGTGCTCATGAAATTTCGAAGATCGAGTGGCATTTCAGTGCCCAAAATTCCTTACACAAAAACCCAATATTTTAGATGTACTAATTAAATTGTTAGTAGTATCGAAAAACACCTAGTTTCAGGATTGTCGAACCAGCTGGAGGCGCTTAATTTCAAGGCGCTATTGTCAGACAACTCCATTAACCTCAATAGGTGAGGATACCCTTTAATTCCTCGCTTTCATTTATTACTATAAAATCGACAGCTAAAACTTCAATGTTACCCTTTTAAAATCAGTTATAGCGAAATTTATTTTTCAGAAATCGTAAACACATTAAATCGACTACCAGAGGAAATTTCAGGGAGCAAATATTGAGAAAAGTACAGAATAGTAAGTAAAACGGAATTAATTTCAATCCTTTTAGCATTGTAACAAAAAGCACGCATTTAGATGTTTTGAGTTCTCCAATGATGTTTGAATGCGATCTAACCACGTCAATACCACTGAGTGAAATCTATTCAAATATTTAGCTAGCTTAGACGTGGCCTAACGGATAAGACGTCCAGTGCATACGTATCTAGCAATGCAACGGTGTTCAAAAAAATAATAAGATATGTGAGTCGACTATTATCAAAGCCGGCAATCTGACTTTTGGATAATTATTGGTAAATCAGAAAAATGAATTATTGACTTTGTATTCCATTGGCAGTCACAAAACTCTTCGGAACGACATCTTAGATAAATAACAGGTTAACTATTAACCTTTATTTAATGCAGGTTTTGAACCGTATTCTTTGAAGGAGACGATTATATTCAAATCAATCTGTATTGACATATCAATAATATTTTTTTGTCCAAATGCACAGATTGCCACCTTTGATAATAGACGACTCATGTATAATATTTCAGGAATATCACCCGAAACCATACAAGAAGACAGTAAAATACCTCTGACTTGTCAATTCCAACTGTTCCAGACTGCCATGAAACACTTACTTATAAGCGGTCAATTTATGGGTTTGAATCCAGTTAGTCGTATATCAGATCATAACCCAACTAAAATAAGGTATATGATCTTAGTACTTTTTTTTATGATTTTCTGTAGAGTAATAAAATAGGACTAGTAATTTCTTACTATGGCACCTCGTTACCAAAATATTTTTATTGAAAAAACAAGAAAGCAATGTTGGGGTTTCCTCAATATGCGTTCTGATCAATCCAAAATCAGACTAGTTAGATTCATTATCGATTACTCGTCTGTAAAAATAAATTGCGCAATGAACATTTATAAGCATTAGATTTTATGAATCAAAATTTCAAAAGGCAAAAATGATACATTCGTGAAGCGAAGTCATGTTTTACTAATAACTTAAATTTAATAGGTTCACAGTATTTTCCTGGAAATTTGTTTATGGTGTAATAATTGGCATTGCCCAAGCATGTGCCACAGTTTTGTGCTTCTGTAAACTCCTGAAGGATAGTGTTAATATTGTTGCATTAGGTGAGTTTAAAAATTTAGATTTTCCCTTTTGATTTTCTTTATTTGTATAGGTAAACTGTGTATAAATTTGAAAAGTCCTTAAGGGTTAGCAGCTACTTAGATCTCTGAGCTACAAACTCAACTGCCTTCATTCATTCTACATAATATATTAATGATGATAACATATTGCTTTTCATAAAGCTCAATTTTATTATCCGTCGATTTCACATCGGGGCTTTAACTTAACTTTAAGGATTAAATTCTTAGTATACTCTTCGGATTTCACTACCTTTCTTAAGGCAATAGGCCAACATTTTATCACTACCAGTAGCAGTAGCAGTCTAAACTAAATTTGCTCTCCATCTTTATATTTTGATTTGATTTAATTGACAGCTTGTGTGGGTTTTAGTGCATGGACACATGCATGGTCAAGTCAAAAGTCGGTTAAGCAACGAAATAATTACTAATAGACTTTGTCAAAATTGTTTCAGCTTATTTTGCATTCTATCTATCCACTGGTTGCAATACTTTCATATTTTTGAGAGTTGCATCAAAATGGCCTACTTTAATAAAACACGTGTACGAAACTCAGCTCGACAGCTATATCGATGTCAAAGTTAAAAACAAGTGCTTTGCCGCATACATTATTTTCTTTTCAATGTCAATGAGTGAGTATTTAGTTAATACGTAATTTTCTTCAGCTTAAGTAATGTAACAGAGAAAATAACTGATTCTAAAACATATAAAAATGTATACGGGTTTTAAATATATTATTTAAAAATCTAAAAATTACGCTTAAAATTAGGTATCGCACAGGATCAATGACCCTTGATAAGCCCGGAGTAATCCATTAGCTGTCATGTAAGGTTGAGTGAATTAAGTCGTTGATTCAAAAGTTTTATAGGGCCTAATATATTCGCAAATTCTGGGATGAGCCTTTAACGGATTAATCGTATGTTTCGTCTACATTATTTAAAATTACCTTTTCGGCATCAAGAACTCTAAAATACTTTACGCCTTGTATTTACAAATGAACATTTTCAGCGGAACACATGCTTTCTTTGCTTTCAAGATTCGTAATAACGATGGACTGTTTACCAAAGGGCAGTGATCTTTTTGAGAGCTATATCATCAGGAACTTTCCTTGGTTGTTCGAATTTGACGTCCCGTATTATCTGCCTGTTGGAATTATACTGCAGGTAGCAAAATAACATTAATATTTTTATTATAGAGAACATGAGGCTATTAGTTTGTGTGTTCACCGTGGAAATATTTTTGTCTGAACATATTCAGTTTACAGAGTACCATGTAGGCATTAAAATCCTTGTGTTTGACATCTTGGGCATGTGCCATTTGGAAGAAAAGTAATAGTAAGCTCCCACTTAGAGACTTTTACTTTATAAACCGTGCGACAGGATAAAGTAAAATGCACAGCAAAAACAACAGGATTAGTATTCCCACTTCTCCAGAACTCCAAACAACGATAAAGCCCTTGGATAGTCGGTGGTCCCAGTCTTGCCGACTGTTTAAAGACATTATGTATGGTTTGAGTTTTTTACTGCTTATTTTACGAAATATTCCAATAATAAATGCCTGAAAGAGTCAATAGATATAATACCTACAGTTAAATCTATAAGCTTTAACATATAGTAGGTACAATAAATTTTAAGAGGATCTTCAAGAGACGTTACTATTTTGAAACGAAATTGTTCCTTCAGATTTATGACAATACAATGTCTTTATTCAAACTGGGTTTAAATACTTTATTAGTCAATAATTGGATCCATGGCATTGCCATTCCCAAACGTCATTACCATTTATGTATTGGAACAATAAAGAATATGCGTTCACTCTTCGTATGATTTTGGCACTTCTGGCTATTTATTTTATTATTCCCATTGATATAGTATCGGTAGCTAATTGTTCTGTCAACGTGAAATGACTTCAAGCATAAACCTTACGCCGGATCAAACTATAGGGGCTATAGTGGAAATCAGGTAGACTTAACTGTTTTAATTTGACTACAGTTCCTGACTTTGGTTTCAACGATTAACTGGAGCTACTCAGATCTGTTCATAGTGTGCATGAGCATTTACCTCACATCCATATTAAAACAGATCAACAAGAAAATAGAGATGGCTGGTAATTCCGTGAGTATCTTTTATAGCGTAAGCAAGGTCATGAAAATTCAAATTGAGAACTATGAGTAAATTGAAATGACCTCATAAACTATGCTTCGGGTGCTTTGTGCATTTTTATCGTTTTCCTTTATTAAATATGTTATTAAGCGAACTTTAAATTCTAGTAGCGGACGACTAGCGTATGCTGGTTGATTACAAACAGTTTCTTAAAAATTTTTTAAAAATGTAGGTATTTGTATGACAAGTAAGGAAAAATGGCAGAATATTGCTGCTACAAAGGGTTATTGCAGCAATGGAACCATGTCGATGAGGGTGAGGTTTCATGACTACGCTGACTGTGATGTTGTGGTACTCATATTTTCTATTGTATCCCGTTCCTCCTTATTCCTCGTATTTAGGCGGATGGTACTGAGATTCTAACGCAGTTTAGTTTTAATACACCGGAGAGTATAAAATAATAAGAGATCTTTGAGGCGATATTCTTGTCTCTGTATGTCTTTTTTCTTGTTTCTTCCGGTTTTTCAAACACCAGCTTCCATTTTGTTATCTAATTCAATTTAGTTAACTGGTTACACACAGTGATTACAGAATTACGGAGATTCCATTAGTCGAGATTCGCTTAAGAGCGTTTAGGCGTATCGCATCTTGTTAACTCAAAACCACATTACTCAAGCCCATTTATATCCATCCAAACAAAATTAAAAATATATAAACTACTGGATCGTCAACTTCATGAAAAAACTAGTAAATTTATATCGGACAACGGAAGTATAGGAATCCCTTATTGGAATAAGATTTCACTATTAAAATTCAAAGCAAATTTTCTGTTTTTCTCCCATTTATTACTGAAGCTCGTTTACGTTTTTAAAAGTAGATGCACATACATAATATGTCATCATCATCATCATCAGCCTGCGGCAGTCCACTGCTGGAGATAGGCCTCCCTCAAAGATCGCCACTGAACCCGATCTTCGGTTCTACGCATCTAGTTACTGCCAGCTGCCTTGCGCAAGTCGTCGCTCCATCTAGCAGGAGGGCGTCCTACGCTACGTTTGCCGGTTCGCGGTCTCCACTCCAGAACACGTCTACCCCAACGGTTATCGGTTCTGCGACTTATTATGTGACCAGCCCACTGCCACTTCAGCTTACTAACTCTGTGAGCTATATCGATCACTTTGGTTTTTGCCCGAATGACTTAATTGCGTATTCGGTCTCGCAATGACAAACCAAGCATAGCTCGCTGAGTACCTTTTAGTTGGTGGACTAGTCGCACAGTCAGTGTCCACGTTTCGGCTCCGTAGTAGTAGGAGCGTACGGGTAGGACGCACTGATTATAGACCCTTGTCTTCAGACATTGTAGTATGGGCGACGAAAATATCACCAATTTTAAATATTAAAATTCATTAATTAAATTTTATTAAGAATAAAGAAAAATTGCTTAGAATCTAGCTCCGTTTTGCTTTTAATCGTTATATTGATCCTAACAACATTCACGATGGCAGATAAAAATGAAAAATGCTTTGTTACGTTTTATTACACAGCAAATTGGGAAGTCTTAATTAAAATATTGAATTAATGAGCTTTCCGTATTTATTACACTATCACTATTTTATGTCGCGCATAAAGAAGAGACGACTTTTAAATTAGGCAGCCATCTTTAATGTTTAAATTGTTACGTCATTTTAGAACTAGCTTCGATTCTGTCATCACCAAAATATTTCTTTTCATGTTATCCATAATTATATCAAACACAAGAACTAATCCTATTGTTAGGATAGTTTTCAGTTCACTTTATTAAAAATAGTCAGTCCAAATTCAACCGAACTCAATTCCGTAGTATTTTAACAATGACCACTACTTTCTAGAACCACCTGACTATACCGTTCCGTATTTATGACACTATCACTACTTTATGTCACGCACAAAGAAGAGACGATTTAAAAATTAGGCAGCCATCTTTAATGTTTCAATTGTTACGTCATTTTAGAACTAGCTTCGATTCTGTCTTGACCATAATGTTTCTGTTCATATTATCCATAATTATATCAAACACAAGAACCAATCCTATTGTTAAGATAGTTTTCAGTTCACTTTATGAAAAATAGTCAGTCCAAATTCAACCAAGCCCAATTCCGTACTGTTTAAACAATGACAAATACTTTCTAGAATCACCTGCCTATACCGTTCTGGCGAACATTACGGGAGGACTACACAAGAGCAACGCGTCTCGTTCGCAGCTTCGACGATACAATCAGCAGCGTTATATTTTTATCGTTTGCCTCAAATCTATTTTTTATATGTCTACAATTGTACAATATACTATCGTGAGTATAACTGATTTCATTGAAACAAACATTTTTTTTTATTGCTTAGATGGCTGGACGAGCTCACAGCCCACCTGGTGTTAAGTGGTTACTGGAGCCCATAGACGTCTACAACGTAAATGCGCCACCCACCTTGAGACATAAGTTCTAAGCTCTCAGGTATAGTTACAACGGCTGCCCCACCCTTTAAACGGAAACGCATTACTGCTTCACGGCAGAAATAAGCAGGGTGGTGGTACCTTCCCGCGCGGACTTTCAAGAGGTCCTACCACCAGTAAGCAACATGCAAATTGAATGTACAATTTGGATCAGCCATTACATTTCTAAGATAATAGATTTGTGGCTTGGATTATATTTGGTGCGACTAGAACCTTTTGGAACCTCTGGGTCTGCGGAGGTACTTCGGTTCTCTCTGTATTTTGTATCGTATGTTCCATGAAGAATGCTCTGAAGAATTGTTAGAGATGGTGCAATCATATCGTTTTTACCATCGCACCGCCCGCCACCGGAGTAGAGTTCATCCATACTACCTGGAGCCACTGCGGTCATCCACAGTGCGTTTCCAGAGATCTTTTTTGCCACGTACCATCCGGCTATGGAATGAACTCCCCTCCACGGTGTTTCCCGAGCGCTATGACATGTCTTTCTTCAAACGAGGCTTGTGGAGAGCGGTAGGCAGCGGCTTGGCTCTGCCCCTGGCATTGCTGAAGTCCATGGGCGACGGTAACCACTAACCATCAGGTGGGCCGTATGCCCGTCTGCCTACAAAGGCAATAAAAAAGACAGGTGTTCCTTCTCTCTGTACAGGTTTTAACGCTTATTAAATACACACGAACATACAAGTTTTTTTCCTGAATGAACAAAATAATTCGGTTATATACTTATTTCATAGCTTTCGTAACTCTGCAAATCAATTGATACTGAGCTTACAGTTTATCGAAATCATTCAAAATCTGAATTCAGTTATTTAGTAAGAATAGAATGACTTATTATAAATACTTAGTTAATAGTTAAAAGCTCAACAAAATTCTCGTAAAAACTTAAATTTTATTTGCTGATTGCCTGTATCCCAAAAGTAAGTCAATTGATTCAAAATGGCACTAAAATTTCAAATTGTGCACTCTCAATATTTTGTTTTCAGTAACGGTGTAACATCGAAGTATAATTTGTTGAAGGAGATGTGCCCAAACTATCCGTCAGGGTAAGTTTAGATGGGTGTTTGTGTGTTTCGGAATGAGTTTAAATTATATTATCACAATATTCAAAAGATACGGTCTTGCGATCTTAACCTCCTCAAGTTGCCGACAACAGCTTTTTTACCCTACCAATTCTCTGTAGGTGAGCTCACGGGCTCAACCTGAGAGAATTGGCTAACACCAGCCCAAGCAAGAGCAGTGCTTCGCAGAATCTATCAGTGGATCGGAATGGCGACTCACTGAGAAGATTTGTACCCTAGCTTGTACGTTGACTCAGTATCCTTCATAATTCTCAAAAACGAATTAAAGACTTTACACAACTATTTAAAGGTGCGCTATTGCATTTACGTTTGTATGGATATGAGTTTTGATAACAGAGTGCATGGTATCAGTAATTTTATGAACAGATATGAGTAGAAGGGTTATGTTGATAATATCCTGAAAAGCACCCCACGCTTTTTTTACAATAAAACAATTTTTTCTTACACTATTTTTAATTCAAATTTATTAAAATTTATTTTCTATTTTTTAGTTGGATTTTCTATGAAAGCGTATTTTGTTAGTTTTTTTTAAACTATTATATATTTTTAATTTTTTAGTTGAATTTCAAATTATATCAAATATATATTTTTTTCAATTTTTTTTAAATATTGAGATGGTCATCGGTCCTTAATAAGTATAACAAATTTCGAGGTAATCTGACGTTTTGAAGGGGGTCAAAATCATGTTCAAAGATTCCGTTACATACTAACATACATAAGTCTGAAGCTAATAAAAGCGTATTAAAAAATATTGTTTTCTTTCAGGCCATTAGGCGGTTACGAACAAATAATGTATTTATTGTTCTCTCTTTCGTTCCTATTGGGTCGTTCTCTAGTCGTCTCGCTTGTCGCAGCCAAAGTACACTCTGCTTCGATGGTACCGGCTTCAGCTTTGTATAACATACCACGAAATATGTACTGTTCGGAAGTAAGTATGAAGTTCGTTGTTCAAAACTATGGTAATTTCTTAGTCTAGTGGATAATGTCCTTGACCCGTTGTTTGAAATTCAGGGTCTATGCGTTCTTGTTTTTGTCTCGTGATTTCCAGAATTAAATCTATAGGACAACCCTACCTTGGCCCTACAACAAATTAGGCAAACTTTGCCTCTTTGATTTTTATTATACGATGTTATAGATTCCTTCATTTTGAAGGTCATCAATAAAATCTGACTGGTACTTGCATGCTGGATATAATCGCCTCTCCCAATAAGAGTAGGTACATTTTTTTATTTTATTGCTTAAGTGGGTGAACGAGCTCACAGCCCACCTGGTGTTATGTGGTTACTGGAGCCCATAGACATCTACACTGTAAATGCGCCACCCACCTTGAGATATAAGTTCTAAGGTCTCAAGTATGGTTACAACGGCTGCCCCACCCTTCAAACCGACACGCATTACTGCTTCACGGCAGAAATAGGCAGGGTAGTGGTACCTACCCGCGCGAACTCACAAGAGCTCCTGCCACAAATAATAAAGTACATCAGGAGTCTTATCTTTCCCACGATGAATATTTCTACCTTATCTTAATTGTTATTAAAAATTATTATTATATTTAATCAATCAAATAAATACTCCTGCCCTTCGATACTGAAATATTGAAATTGTTTTCAGATTCAGAGGTTCTTGGACCAAGTGCATGGTGATAAGGTCGCGTTGAGCGGTCTTCGTTTTTTTTACGTCACTAGAAGCCTGGTTTTGTCGGTATGTCAATTACATTATTACTATTTTATTTATTTAAACCAATCATTTATGGTTCTTCGTTAGTTGTCGTATGATTTAGTTGAATCTTCTAATTCTAATGTGCTTCTATTGAGAGTTGAATCTTCTATTTTAAGCTTATTCATAGCCTGTCCATATTGCTATTTACTCTTTAGTGTTATTATTATATTATCTTAAATTTTCTAAATACCGTTCGTTTTAGGTTGCTGGCACTATTGTCACTTACGAGCTGGTGTTGCTACAATTCAGCAATGAAGATTAAACAATAGACAATAATTAATTAGTTAATTCAATTAATTAAATTTAAATTAATAATAGTATAACGATTCGCAATTATAGTACGGATAAAAAAATTCTCATATTATTATGGTTACTAAAAAAATTCATGCTCATATCCATCCATGTTTCAAAACAGGTTTTTTTAAAGCCTCGCTTTCTCTTAATGTTGTTCCGTTTTTAATAGTTTCAAAGGCAAATATTACTTTAAATCAAGTAACTAGTCAAACGGGTGATTTTTACTTGTATTGTTTTGATAATGCCTAAATTAGCTTCGAGTTCAATCGATCAATTAAAACGTAAGTTTACCATTGGCAAACAGACAGAGTTTGAATAATAAATAACTATAATATATTCAAAATAACACACTCATCTGAGCAGATAAATCCAATGAATTCATATTTAATAAGGATTCAGGAATTATCAAAAAAACCCATTACCTGCCTTCCAATTATTTGTGGGCAAATTGTTGTCTCGAATAAATATACATACTTATAATTGATGAAAGAATAGTGAGTGTAACGTGTATGCGACCTAATGTCCATTCTCATAACATTAATCTTTGCTGACCACTCTACGAAACACAGTCTATGACCGCCCCGCCATAGTGTCTACGACGTACCGTACATTTTAGACGGAAGTAAAAACTGTGAATTGTGATTAACAAAATATAAATGTAAGCCCGATCGTAACGTTTGTCATTTATAAAAGAACCCAAACATTACAGTAAGTAGTTAACTCTTGTTTTCATGTTCTTTTAAGTTATTTATGTCGTTCTGTTAACATTTAACTTTAACCTATTTTTCCGCTGTTTGTAAAATTGCTGTAACATGTCATAGTGTGTTAAAGAGATTGCTGTACATGCCTGTAACTGGCTTACATACCAGTACTTAATTTTATACATGCTAATTTTAAGCTTGAATGTTTTGTGTGTATTGCTGTTGGTGTGCTTAAATAAAAAAATAAAAAATCAAAAACTTATAAAGTTTAAAATCAAATCTATAACTATAACTATAACCTATCGCACCTGTACTATAATTTCTATATAATATATTATTTGAATTAGATTTAAATTATTTACTTCTCTACATTAGTTGACATCTGTAAAAAATAATGTAACAAGAGTGAAAAAAGTCCATATTTTTTTTACATAATGTAAATTTGTTAACAAAAAAATATTCCAAAATAAACGTATTCTTGCATTTCTTTGTATCATAAATAGCTATTGTTTTTTTTATCAATAATGTGAAAATGAAATGATTGTATTTTATTTTCAAGTTGAATTTAGTGGAAATTGTTGGATTTAAACAAAATTTAATTCAATGTCGATAAAAGTTATGTTATTTGTATTTGTAAACTCGAATGTTATGTTTTCAGGTACGAATGATTTGTATTTTTATTATAGTTGAATTACGTTTAAACAAGATTGTGATAAGTTGGCATTTCACGCTGGTGCTACTGTGGTAAATAGTTAGGGAATGCTGGCAATTTCAAAGAAATAGAGCAAGAGCCCGCGACAGCCAGACCTTCGTTATTTTATAAAAGCTGAAAGTTTCTCTGTGTATGTTTCCAACACAGGTAAGAACGACCCGCGATTATAGAGTTCCGATTGTGGTTACTTGGGCAGGTAACAGGCAGTAAAGGTATATAAAATAGTACCTTAAATTCGTTAAAGTATAAAGGTTGTTTTTTTAATATTTAGTCCAGAATATCTTTAGAAATCATGATATCCGTTGCCGGACACTTTTTCCAGTTGTCCTGCCAGACACCCTTAAACTTTAATAAATTTTAATTATACTTTCGTTATACTATAAAAGCTAAATTTTATATATGTTACTTAGGGACTTATAAAAATATGTTACCCCAAGAGCCGGACAGTTTTAATGGTTCTTACATCTTGCCAGACACATTGAGAGCCCGCTGTAGGTGCGAGCGCGAGGTAGCAACTGTTCAAGCGGGTGTGAGCGAGATAGAGTGCTTAGTCTATTGTGATCTTTTACTGCACATCAGCTGTCGTTTATAGGATTTATCCGTTCTAAGCAGTGATATCGAGGCGCTACTCGGCATGGGAAGCTCTGTCATTCTGGCGGGCGACCTAAATTGTAAACACATCAGGTGGAACTCACTCAACAACTGTCCTGGTGAAGCTGGAAAGGCCTCCGGGCCACCAGTAATCTTTCAATCATAAAAAAAAAGGATTTATCCTGCGTTCTTCAGGAAAGGAAAATTAAAACCATACAAAACATTTAAAAAATATCCAGAGTACCAGGAAGCTTTCAAAAATTTCCGTAACAGCGAATCAATTGAAAATTTAGATCAACAACAAAACATCTATAATAGAGGTCTATATGCAATGCTTACAATGTCCGTAATGTAATTGATATTGATGCTGCTCGACTTCAATTATTCATCGACTCCTATACAGTCTCTAATGTAAACGAAGCTTTTGACCGAAAGAAATTGCGAAATTTTGACGTTAGCAATCTACCACCTTGTAAAAGCGAGCTATTGCAGCAATTTTTGCGATCAAATTCTGTATATACCATTTGGAATAATGCTCATCTAAAAAATCCAACCTCATATGGAACCGGATAATGATGGCAGGGTATTGAAAGATGACAAACACCAAGATCTACTACCGAGTTATGTTAGAGATTCGCTCAAAACTCAATCAGGTATGTAATTATTATGACAAATTATTGTACATAATTTTTTTATTATTCAAATTGTATAATTTTTCTTAATTTTTTACAGTTTCTGTAAAAAATCGACGAATTTCAATCGAAGTTCAATATCGACGACAATGAGGAAAATTATAAGAACGATTAAATATTTTTCTTTGACATGTAATATTTTGTTTGTACTTTATAATATTAAAATAACCTTTTTTATTTTCTATAATATTGCTATGAACGTAATAAAATAATTTTTTTATTGGATATCTTAAAAGATCACAATAGACTAAGCACTCTATCTCGCTCACACCCGCTTGAACAGTTGCTACCTCGCGCTCGCACCTACAGCGGGCTCTCAATGTGTCTGGCAAGATGTAAGAACCATTAAAACTGTCCGGCTCTTGGGGTAACATATTTTTATAAGTCCTTAAGTAACATATATAAAATTTAGCTTTTATAGTATAACGAAAGTATAATTAAAATTTATTAAAGTTTAAGGGTGTCTGGCAGGGGGCAACAACTGGAAAAAGTGTCCGGCAACGGATATCATGATTTCTAAAGATATTCTGGACTAAATAATAAAAAAACAACCTTTATACTTTAACGAATTTAAGGTACTATTTTATATACCTTTACTGCCTGTTACCTGCCCAAGTAACCACAATCGGAACTCTATAATCGCGGGTCGTTCTTACCTGTGTTGGAGACATACACAGAGAAACTTTCAGCTTTTATAAAATAACGAAGGTCTGGCTGTCACGGGCTCTTGGGATAAAAGGGATCATGCAGTTGTTTGTAGCAAAGGATTTATGGAATCATAAACAATTATTGTTTGAAAGAAAATACAGTGAAAGCCATGGCATTCAAAAGACACCCACAGGTCTGCGAAAAACAATAATATTGAAACACAGGAGATGCCATATAATATCACTGATATAAATACACACTCAATGTATATTATATACACTGGGTACCCACTTCAGTACTAAACTCTACTCTAGAGAAGGCTTATAATTGATACGTAACGTATTTCTTTATGGTTTATTCGAATTTAGTATTCTAGGAAAGAAATATTAAATATTAATAGAGAAATATTGTTAAAATAGCCACTTCGATAAAGCGGCACGACACGAGAACCCTCTCATCGTGGCCGCCGGTAACTACATTCCCGATCCTGCGGAAAGGATGGAAAGCAGTCGACGTCGCCCAAAACTCGTCATCTCGGATCCTCCCGATCCACTAACGGTGCTTCTAGGTACTTCAAGCACCGGTCACCGTTCTCGTCGAACCCGTCGCTTGCGACGAAGGGCTCGACGAGTAAATTAACTCTGAGACACAGCCCACTGAGTTTCTGGCCGGATCTTCTAAGTGGGTCGCGTTTCCAATCCGGTGGCAGATTCTGCGAAGCACGACCCTTCCTAAAAAAAAAAGAAAAGAAAAACATAATATTCATCTCTCAATGGGAATTTAAAATATTTAAACAATTAGATATATTCTCAAATCGTATTTTTTTAAGTACCATTTTCCTCAAATTAAGATTAAACTAAAGTTAGTTTCAAGGAAAAAAAAATAAACAGTAAAATAGAAGGGACACACAAATCAGACAAAGTCATACTGAACCAAAGTTCTGCAGTGACAGCTTACCTGTACATAAAAATTATCCAAAAAAGTCTTCAATACTATATTTTATGACGGAGGTACACTGGTTCCATGGTATTTTTAAAATGTTGACTAAGTAGTAACGTTGCGCCGACTAGTCGCTATATAGTTCTTAGGGTAGCACATTGGTTTTGCCCTGGTATCAGGGATATCCTTAGGTGACAATAAATACAAAGCGGGCCCCACGCTCCTATAATCTAAGTCTATAAAAAACCTTCGGTCTGCTGATGAAAAAACGCCCACTCAATGAAAGATCATTCACTGAGTAATCTATGGATTTTGGGAATTTGGCCTTTTAACCAATTAACGACCGATTATTTATCAACATTATCTCCTTAGTGCACGCTTTGACGTTAACTCCTGATAATGAAATGCAATCAAGCTTAAAACCAAACAATTGTGCTAACGTTTGCATGGATCTTCCTAAGTTCGATCGACAGCCAATCTGCATGATGTACAGCAGATATAAGAAAGCGTACATTTACTACGTAAACGAGTGTCACGCTAGGAGAGCTATTTGCAATGAAAATCTTGGTGAGTAGGCAAACAAAAATTTCCAGATTAAAAGATTTGAGAGAGAGTTTTCGATTGTCATTGAATTGATCTCAAGGTGAGAAATTTGATCATGCTATCTATGGACTTGAGTAACCCG